GAAATATAATGATTTGCAAAAAATTTCTTATCTTTGCGAAGTTCTTTATTATTTGTTATATCATACAAGAACAAATAACGAATTGATCATGGTTATTAAGAGATGGATGTGAGGAAAAATATGCACCTTGGTCCGGGAGGACGTCTGGCTGCACTCACCACATCTCCACATGGGGTCTCAGGTGGAGTGGAGCAGGTGGGGGCCCAGGGCCCCAGGTGCTTCCCAGGGCCCAGAGGTCAGCTGGGACCTGCCCTTCCATGCCAGACGCTTGCACTTCGATCGCCGGCCAGGCCTAGGCACTTCACCCGTGCACAAATTTCGTGCACCGGGCCTCTAGTTGATATATAAGAATTCAGCTGAGGTGTAGGAAATACATTTGTATATACATAAAAATATAGGCTTCATTATGTAAATGAAGAATTATAATGGTTTGTATTCATGTTTGTTATACTAGGTACTCCTGGATATCTGTTACATCTTTGTAAGTAATAGAACTTGAACTATATTGTAAAGTTTTTTTTCTCCCACAGAAGTAAATTTCCCCAGAAGGAATTGGAAATGCTGTTTCCTGGAATGAGTGCTGATTTTACAAGTGAGAATTTTTCAGCTGCCTGGTATCTGATAGAGAACCACTCAACCACCAGGTTAGTGATGTGGAACTGTTGATTGTGAGTTGTTCACTCAGATGCAGTGAAGAGGATTATTCAGTGATGTGGGTTTTAGGTCTAGTTCTCTCAGAGCCCTTTAACTTTGGGTGAGCTTGTGGACCTCTCAGGGTACCTATTTTCTTATTTATAAAATGGGATTATTAATTAGAGGGTCCTTATTCCTTACTATCGTGTTGCTTCTATCAGTTTCATTATTTGTGCAACCCATTAAAACTTTGTTGAGTCTCAGCTATGTAATAAAACTGATGTGTCTGAATGTTACTTTTCCCAACTCAACAAAATTTTCAAGTCTTGGTGTAAAGTAGGAAACACACCTTCTTCCCAGATCACAGAGCAAAGGAAGATGACTTGGTTTATCATTTTGCAAAGACTTGGTGTAAAACTAGGCAAAAAAAATAGACAAGGTCATATATCTAAATTAAAGTAATCCTTTTTGTTTGCTAATTACATTTTACCCATTTTCTCTACAAGATCAGATTTTTAACTTTTTTTGCAGACTGTTTTAAAACAATGATATTTAGTAAAAATGCTTTAATGAATGTTTTATTGCTTAAAATTTATATTCTTGAAAATTCAACTTGTTAAAATATAACTTAGGAGAAATTCTTAATCTATTAGGAGGAAAACCATTAGTAGAAAACATGAGGAAAAGTTGGTTTATACATAGGATAAATTTGGCCTGATAAATTTTTAAAGTAAATCTTTCATTATAGGAGACTAGAGGCCCGGTGCACAAAATTAGTGCACTTGGGGGGGGCGTTTCCCTCAACCTGGCCTGCGCCCTCTCACAGTCCAGGAGCCTTGGGGATATGTCTGACTGATTGCTTAGGCCAGTGATGGCAAACCTTTTGAGCTCGGCGTGTCAGCATTTTGAAAAACTCTAACTTAACTCTGGTGCCGTGTCACATATAGAAATTTTTTTGATATTTGCAACCATAGTAAAACAAAGACTTATATTTTTGATATTTATTTTATATATTTAAATGCCATTTAACAAAGAAAAATCAACCAAAAAAATGAGTTCGCGTGTCACCTCTGACACGCGTGTCATAGGTTCGCCATCACTGGCTTAGGCCCACTAAGTTATCAATCGGACATTCTTAGCATTGCCACAGAAGCGGGAGAGGTTCTCACCACTGCCACTGTGCTCGCCAGCTATGAACCTGGCTTCTGGCTGAGCGGCAGTCCCCCTGTGGGAGCACACTGACCACCAGGGGGCAGCTCCTGCATTGAGTGTCTCTCCTCTGGTGGTCAGTGCACATCATAGTGACCGGTCATTCCACCATTTGGTCATTTGCATATTAGCCTTTTATTATATAGGATACGCTGTAGATGAGGCCCCCTAGAATAATAGGAAATGCAAAAAGTTCACTGTTAACTCATTCTGGAATTGCCCCCACTTAAAATCAAATTGCCCCCCTGTGGGGCGTGTGCTGCACCTTGGGAACCACTGGGCTTGACACTTTTCCTCTCTGAGCTTCATTTCTGAATACATACGCATATACCATGGTAATTGTAATCTCTTCTCCGCCTACCTCACTGGGTTGTCATGAGGAGGTTCTGAGCTAATAAACTTAGAAATGTTTCATCAAGTAAGTGATGTCTAAATGGGAAGGGATTGTTATTTTTAAGCCCACGGGTACCCTCGCAGGAAGCAGGTACTGATTAGGGGAGGAAGGCATGATTGTTTCCTGGGATTGTAGCTATCAAAGCTTTGGAGAGGGTTCCACAGGCCTCGGAGGGGCAGGCTCTTGCCAGTAGCCCTGCAGTGGTGTTCATCCCTGGAAGCGCTGGCCGGGGGGTCATAGGGGGGCGCTAGTGGGCAGTGAGGCCGAATGGGGAGTAACTGTCAACTCCTCGCTGCGCCATTCTTTAAATTGTATGTGGCCGTTCACAGCTATACGTGGCTCAGGGCAGGGCTCCAATCTTCTGGAGTGTGGAGGGGGCTGGGCCAGGGTGGGGTCAGGTGGGCTAGGAGGGCAGGTTTTAGCTCTGGCCCCCCGGCGAGGGTTCAGTGCACTTCCACTGCAGAGACGGTGCCGCCTGCTTATCCGGGGGGGATGGGTCCCGACCCTGGGGGGGCCACTTCGGGCCTGCCTCCCACCCAGAGTCTGGAGTTGTAAGGGAGGAGA